ATGTAACGGCGCTAAATTCGACATAAAAGCCTAGTGTAGACCAGGCCTGAGTGTCTCCCCTCAGCTGTCAGGCTTCGTGCCTTTCTCTCTCCCTCAGTGTCTGTGGGCCTCTCTCTGTCAATAGGAAGCAGTTCTAGGGGGAGTCCCCTTTGGCTGGAGTCTCCTCTGGGTTTTCCCTTTGATCATGAGTGTCTGGCTGTGTGTGTTTCCAGGAGACATGGGCACAGTTAAACCCCTACACCTTTGAGAACGTGGGGAGCTGGAACCAGGATTTTACTGCTTTAAAATGGGCTTGGGTTAAAATAACAGAACTGTTTTTGTGGGTGACAAATGTCCCATGAATTTACCTAATCTCACTTGTCTTCTTTCCCCTGAGCAGGGTTTCCAGTTTCCAAACCTGATGTCATCTCCCAGCAGGAACGAGGGGAAGAGCCGTTTTCCCCAGATCTCCAGACCTCAGTGGAAAGAGAGCTCCTGAGAGGCAGCTGTGCAGGTGAGTGATCATTAAACCAACTCAGTGCCTGAAGGAAATAGCTGGGATTCCCAACAAAGACCTTGTGAGCTTTCTCAATTCAGGATTGTCCCCAGCGGGTATCACATCCACAGGGCAAATATTGCTCATGGCTTCCTACCTATCCTTACTTACTCCTGGCAGTAGCCCCCTCCCTGAACTTCCTTCTCCCCGAGTGTTCGGATGGGAGCTGGATGCAGAATTGCTCCTCTACTCTCTCCCCTTTAGGGAAGAGTTTGGGGAAATTCAGTCCCTGATTTTTTTTTCCCATCTCCAGCTTCTTCTTTTGGTTTGTTCTCCCCTTTTCCATTCTGGTTTCTGAGGTTTTTCTTTTTCTGTCCCACCAGGTGATGGGATGGTGAATGAGACTGTGGAGCAGAATCCTCAGCAGGAAGATGATGAGAAAGTGGAATCACATGGGGTGTTACCGCAAAGATGCAAAGGGAGTGTGTCCAGGAGTTGTGAGCAGGAAAAAGCCTGTAAGAGTCAGTACAGGCCAGAGAAGCAGCAGAGAAACCAGCCAATGCAGAAAGTTGGTCAATCTGTTAATTATCAGGGAACTCAGAAATGCCACAAGAAAACCATGGCCCAGCAGATTATCCTCATGGGTAAGAGAAATAATACATGCGCTGAGTGTGGTAAAAAGTTTAATAGGCCCCTACTCCTGATTATCCATCAGAGAATCCACACAGGGGAGAAACCCTATCGATGCTGTGAGTGTGGGAAAACCTTTGCTCAGAGCCAAGCCCTTATTCAACATCAGAGAATCCACACAGGGGAGAAACCCTATCGATGCTGTGAGTGTGGGAAATCCTTCACTCAGAGCTCAGCTCTTATTCAACATCAGAGACTCCACACTGGGGAGAAACCCTATCGGTGCTGTGAGTGCGGGAAAACCTTTGCTCAGAGCTCAGCTCTTATTCAACATCAGAGAATCCACACAGGGGAGAAACCCTATGCATGCTGTGAGTGCGGGAAAACCTTCACTCAGAGCTCAAGCCTTATGAAACATCAGAGAATCCACACAGGAGAGAAACCCTATCGATGCTGTGAGTGTGGGAAATCCTTCACTGAGCAGTCAAGCCTTATTAAACATCGGAGAATCCACACAGGAGAGAAACCCTATGAATGCTGTGAGTGTGGGAAATCTTTCTCTCGGAGTTTATCCTTTATTCAACATCAGAGAATCCACACAGGGGAGAAACCATATGAATGCTGCGAGTGCGGGAAAACCTTCTCTCAGAGCTCAAACCTTACTAGCCATCAGAGGATCCACACAAAGGAGAAACTCTGTGAATGCTTTGAGTGTGGGAAAATGTTCACTGGTAGTTCACACCTTATTAGCCATCAGAGGATCCACACAGGGGAGAAACTCTATGAATGCTTTGAGTGTGGGAAAACATTCACTGGTACTTCAAACCTTGTTAGCCATCAGAGGATCCACACAGGGGAGAAACCCTATCGATGCTGTGAGTGTGGGAAAAGCTTCTCTCGGAGCTCAGCTCTTATTCAACATCAGAATATCCACACAGGGGAGAAACCCTATCGATGCTGTGAGTGCGGGAAAAACTTTGCTCAGAGCTCAGCCCTTATTACACATCAGAGGATCCACACAGGAGAGTGACCCTATGAATGTTATGAATATGGCAGGTTCTTATATCAGAACTCAGCCTTTATTTATCATTAGAGATGCTGCAAAGGAGATAGAGACCATACAAACCCTGTCTAGAGCTGAGAAAAGATTGTTTTTCTTTTGTTAATTCCCACATAATAAAATTTAAGGCCTCATTTGTGTCCCTGTGATCTTTCAGTTCCCCCAGCTGAGTTGTCTGCTTTTCTCTTCTGTAGCACAACATCTCTTGGGGAAAATCCCAGAATCATTATGATCATCTGCTTTGTTCTATGTCATGGAAGTGTGTCCCACAAACAAGAATGACACGGAGTCCGGTGGCACCTTAAAGACTAACAGATTTATTTGGGCATATGCTTTTGTGGGCAAAAAACCCACGTCATCAAACACAAAGTGGGTTTTTTGCCCATGAAAGCTTATGTCCAAATAAATCTGTTAGTCTTTAAGGTGCCACTGGACTCCTCGTTGTTTTTGCGGTTACAGACTAACATGGCTACCCCTCTGATATCTGTCAAACAAGAATGTCAATCAACTCCAGGTGGGGGAACCAGGAGTGACCTCAACTAGGTACATGGAGGTTAAATATACTTGGGCCTTGATTCCACTGGGATTTAGCTAGCTTCAATTAACAATCTTGATGTAAAAACAACTGGGTTTTTTTTCCAATAAAAAATAGCCCATGTATAGTGGCCATGGTAATTTAGCAAACTTCGTGAAGACCTGATGTAACCCTTTCCCTAGTGTAAACAAATTTGGAGCATCACATTTATACTTTTTGTCCCTCTGCAAAGCAATTGTTGGTCACCAGGTTCCCCCACTATGGACAGTTTGTCTCATTCCCAGTTGTTTTCACATTGCACTGGGTTCTGCTGAATGTTTTTGTACCATTTTTCTCATTTTAAATATAACAAAGAGAAGGAGCAGGATTAGGGACATGAAAAGAAAAGTTTTTTCAACCTCTGTGACACCTGAAGACGAAGCAGTGAGTTGGAGGGAGTCCCACCTTCCAAATTACGCCAGCAGTGTTTCTCTCTTTGAGACAGAATTTATGTAGAATTTATGTTCTCCAATTTCTACTCCTCCACCTTTCAGTGTGTCATGTGATGCAGTGTTCTCAGCCCTCAGCTTGGGAATCACACTTTGATTTCATCCTAAAACATAATAATTTAGGGCCTGAGATGAAAATCTCATAAACCTGGAAGGGGGATTTGAAAGGATCTTAAAGGATTACAAATGCAAAGGCTAGCTGTGGGTGTTACCCAGAGTACTTGGAGGAGAGGAAGGTGATCAGGAACAATCAACATGGATTCACCAAGGGCAAGTCATGCCTGACCAACCTGATTGCCTTCTATGATGAGATAACTGGCTCTGTGGATATGGGGAAGTGGTGGATGCAATATATCTTGACTTCAGCAAAGCTTTTGATACGGTCTCCCACAGTATTCTTGCCAGCAAGTTAAAGACGTATGGCTTGGATGAATGGACTACAAGGTGGATAGAAAGTTGGCTAGCTCGTCGGGCTGAATGGGTAGTGATCAACGGCTCGATGTCTAGTTGGCAGCCAGTATCAAGTGGAGTGCCCCAGGGGTTGGTTCTGGCTCTGGTTTTGTTCAATATCTTCATTAATGATCTGGATGATGGGATGGATTGCACCCTCAGCAAGTTTGCGGATGACACTAAGCTAGGACGAGAGGTAGATACACTGGAGGGTAGGGATAGAGTCCAGAGTGACCTAGACAAATTGGAGGATTGGGCCAAAAGAAGTCTGATGAGGTTCAACTGGCTACATCAGAGGGGCAATACGAAACTTGTTTGTATCGGTGTATAAAATAGAGGAAGTATCTCTGGCTGGCCTAGGGGGAAGTGGAAAGTCCCACCACTGACTGGGCTGGTCCATTGTGATGAGCATACATGTGGTAGTGGTCCTGCAGCATCTACAGGATACTAGGACCATGCTTCATTCACTGTCCGGGTGCCTTTGCTACCAAACTGGTCTGTGGTGATGGGGCAGTTTGATCGGAACCTGATGTATGGGCTGTCTGGCCAGAGCCAGTGCAACACACAGAGGGAACAGACACATGCAGACAACATCTGACAACAGCAGTGTTATATGAGAAGTAGTAAACACAAGCTGAAATTATGACTAATAGTATGTTATCCAGATAAATCTGAGGAGTGGCCAAAACCCATTCCTCAGAGGCAAAGGGCAGCTGATGCCTCAGCCAGGTGTAAACAAGGGTGATGGATCATTACCTGCTAAGTGGCCATTCTTTGTCAAGAAACGGGGTGGGGGCAAAAAAAAAATCTACATTTTAGCACAGAAACCACACAGTGTACCTGTTCACACAGACTGCCTGTAGCCTTGCTCCCAGCTGGGACTGCTTCTCAAAGTGGGAACAGGACTATAAACTAAGGGGCAGATCCCTCCCCCAAACACCCTTCTCTCCCCTTGCCCATTGCATTCTCTGCACCTGAGAAGACAAAATGACACAGCCCCTAAGCTTTCATGGAGGGGTCCTGACCTGAAGAATTTGGTCAGTAACACTACTGAAGCATGTGCTGAGAAAAATTTGCTTTGAAACTAAGATAATTTCTTAAGTATATGTTTTTAAGCATTTTATCTTTATTTTCTTGTAACCATTTATGACTTTTAAGCCACATTACCTATACTCTCATAAAATCTCTTTGTAGTTAATAAACTTGTTTTATAACTTGTTATATAAGCCAGTGTGTTTAAACTGAAGTTTCTGACTAGCTATATGAAATAATAAACTGACATATTATTCTCTTAAAGATTTATTGACTTCAAATATTCTGTAGTGGCCAGAAGAGCTCTAGGCCATACAAGACATACATTTCTGGGGGAAATCTGGGACTGAGGGTGTGTTAGGACTCACCATGCAGTGTAGTAGAAAGACAGCCTGAGACATGAGGTGTGGTAAAGGGGGCCTGGTGTAAGGCCTATAGCCTCTGTTAAATTCAGGCCCTGCTGAGATAAAGCAAAGTTAGCAAGAGTCAAGGTATGAGCAGAAGTCAGGCCCTGATACAAAACATGCTTATTTGCACGTTCACAGGACCTAGCAGAAACAGGGTTGGTATTGCAAAAACACAAGGACTCCTAGGCACTAAGTATTCACATAAACTCATTCCAGAGGTGTAGTACCAGAATACCCTGATACAAAGTGATGCTACAGAGACACACTTGATCCCACTTAAAGAAAAGGTCAGGATGATAGTGTGATGGATAGAGATGTTTTGCTTGAACCAACACGTACAAGGTGAATGGTGGTAACTGACCACATGAGAGGGGCAATATGTAACTTGTTTATATCAGTACATAAAAGAGGGGCCTCAGAGGGGGTGTCTTTGCTAGTTGAGGGGGATAGTAGAAAGTCTCACCAGTCACTTAGCTGAATCCAGGACAATGAACATACACGTGTTAGTATATCTGTAACCATTGAGCCAGGGCATTAGGACCATGCTTTGTTGACAGTCTTTTTCTTTTGTATCGCATGGGTAGGTAGCAACAATTCTAAATTTATATCAAGCTTTGATAGCCAGCACGTTGCCACAGTGAGCTGGTGAATGTCCTTCAGGCCCCTGGTGAAAGAATGACGGGGACACTCAGATATGATGTTGACAATAAACCTGGACAAGCGCCTTTGCTACTGAATGGAATCAGTGGTTTTGTTGGGCAGTTTGATCAGAGCATGCTGTACAGGCTATCTGGCCAGAGCCAGTGCAGCATGCAGAGAAAATATACGCATACAGCCAACTAACAACATGCAGTATAATCAAGGCTGGGGAGAGGCAGAGTGTGGCCGACAGGTTACAAAGACTGTTGCATGTCCGCTTTCCTATGAAGTGGCAAACTAGGTAATGAACTTACACTGGCCAGGCTTTTGACCAGTGCAAGATGGTATATTGTTGGGGTTATAACTGATTTGCTTATGATTATTATAATTTGTTATGCTTATTCCATAAGATATGCACGTGTTTAGATATATATATACACACACATTGTGATATGTTATAGGCCAATGGAGCCTAGAGAGTGTTTGTGGTGTACTTGACATGAGTGCGTGAGTTGTGTACTGATAGCCGAAGCCAAGGACTTCAGTTTATGAACGGTCAAAGACTGTCTGGGAACGCTATGAGGTAATTAACAGCTCTCAGGCCCTCTTGGACCATAAATGGCCCCTCCCACAACACTTCCATCTTATTGACCTGGAGCACTTTTAGGACCATGACTTGGTCACCTACTCTGAAGGAACGCTCTCTGGCATGTTTATCATACCAGGCCTTTTGCTCTTGTTGAGCATCCTGTAGGTTTTCTCAAGCAAGGGCCAGAGAGTCTTTCAGAGTGTTTTGCAGGTTGGTTACAAAGTCCAAAATGTTAGTTCCTGGGAAAGATGTAACCTCCCATTGCTGCTTCACCAACTGTAATGACCGCTTAACTTCACGGCCATAAACGAGTTCAAAGGGTGAAAACCCCAAACTGGGATGTGGTACAGCTCTGTAAGCAAAGAGTAACTGCTGCAACACTAGGTCCCAATCATTGGAATGCTCATTCACAAATTTACATATCACGGCCCCCAAAGGCCCATTAAACCTTTCCACTACACCGTTCGTTTGATGGTGGTAAGGGGTGGCAACCAAGTGGTTCATCCCATGAGCTTCCCAAAGATGCTTCATGGTTCCTGCCATGAAGTTAGTTCCCAAATCTGTAAGAATGTTGGAGGGCCAACCTACCCTGGCAAAAATGTCTGCCAATGCCTGGCTCATGCTGCTAGCCGTGGAGTTGCTTAGAGCTACTGCCTCCAGCCATCGGGTGGCAAAATACATGAAAGTCAGTATGTACTGCCTTCCTCTGGGTGTCTTCTTTGGGAAAGGACCCAGAATATCCACAGCCACATGCTGAAACAGAACCTCAATTATGGGGAGTGGCTGGAGAGGGGCATTGACCTGGTCTTGGGATTTTCCCACACTCTGGTACACCTCACAAGACCGGACATAGGTAGAAACGTCTTTACCCATCCCCTCCCAGTGGAATGACTTCCCCAAATGGTCTTTGGTCC